TCGTACACTTCAACAGCACGTTCCTCACTGCAGATATGGACTGGTAAATTAGGAGAAGCGACCACAGTAAAGTAAATAGACTCGATTGCCTGAAACAGTGTAATGCAAAATACATAGTAAGCGGGACAGAACATAACATTAAACAATTCAAAACCATTTCATTAACTTTAGCTGAAAAAACTTGTATATTATACCGAGTCAACAACTGAATGACAATTAGGAATTTACTCGTTTTTCTTGACATACGTCAGTAATTTGAAGCTGCTACGCGTGAAATCGTTGCTCAAAGCTTCTAGTTACGCTGGAGAGATATTGTTATAAATATACTCCCTAAAAGTACAAATCTCAAACGCATTTAGGAAGGGGTACTAAGAATTTTGGAAAGTTTCCAGATAACGTTATTGGAGAGTACATGATAAAACTCCCAATACATCTAATAAGTCCATTTTTTTCATAACCACACAAGAAATCCAATACTTCATGGAAAAGAGTCCAAAATATTCAGCAGACCTTTTTTTCATATTACAGTGCTAAACATGATAACACCAGAAACATGTAATTATGCAACAAACCTTTGGAATGGCATCCCATTCACCATTTTGACTCTGTCTTTTTATCTAAATAATAAATAATTACATCAAATCATCGAAGCATTTCCAAAAAAACAACAACAACGACAATGCAATTTCACATATCTACGTAAAATGTTACTTTTTTTGGCAGTTGAGATAAATAAATTTTCTTCAAACTGCATCATTTTGAGATATTTTATTTCCTCTGCAGGGACTAATATAACCATGGAACCTCAAATTACAAAAGATTTTCACATCAAACTACACCTCAAGATAGTCCACTCTGGCCAGGCCACCAAGCAGTAAGGACAAGCCCGGTTTAAGAATGAAGGTCCTAGGCACAAACCACAGTTTTGGATTCAAGCGTCTTAGCTCTTCCATGGTCAAGAGATTTGTGATCTGTCAAAATGAGATTTAGAAAGTATGAAATGGTAGAGTTTTTCACCAAGGAAACCAATTTAAACAAATTATCATGCTGTAGTTGTTTATTTGCAATATGAATGATTTTAGTAGAAGTATTTTGCAATCTGTCCACTGTTATCTTCTGTGAGACATTCTGAACAGACGGAGGCCAACTTCCTACTGACCAATCACAATAAGGTTCAGGGTATGTGAACAAACCTTTCCCTTTCAATCCCAAGATCTATACAGAAATTCCTCTTACTGTCTTCCATTAATTGTTAATAATATTGGTTCAGAGAATTTGGTGTTCAATCAAGTAATACTCTTAGAGTTGATATTTTTCCTTGTCTACTTGTCTGTCTGACAGAACCCGATGGAGGACGGAAGTGGTTAATGGCCTATGCTCCAACCGGAGCTAAGGGCGAAACAACAACACTTGTCTGCCTCACACATGCATTGAATTTATATTGCACAGAGCAATTGCCTCAGTCACTCCCAGGAGAAAAAAGGATGAAATCACAACTTAATTATCATTTTTGTTCGCAGTTTTCTTTTCTAACTCCTCATTGGCTTTCTCCTTGGAATACAATAACACTCCATAAATATTTCTGATGCTCAAAGTTATCTGAATTTCATGATAACCTAAGTGGGATATAAATTTTGTATTTAAAAAAATATATCTATTACCTAGAAGACAGAACATTAATAAAAGAATTAGATATTTTCATTGCCTAAAAATATTATATTAAATTTGATCTAACTATATTCATGATATTTCCATGACATAAAAGCAAAGCATGAAACTTCCACTTATAAAATAAAATGGAACAACTCATTTTTACCTGGTTTTCACTGATAACTCCTGGTGTGTCATACAGCCATCTCTGGTTCCTGTTTGGTTGATACATCACAAAACTTGGCTTAAAAGTTTGAAGCCCTGTTTGTGAAGGAACTATTGCTGTTGAACTTCCCTTTCCAATAAAACTTTTCTTCTTTTTATCTCGGTAGCTTGTTTCTTCTTTAGATATGATCTCATCATCAATTTGATATTCTATATCATCAGGCTTTTGCTGAAGAGGATGAAAAGAGAAGAAAAAGTCAAAGCCAAAGGCAAAGGAGTCCCTAGGAAATTATGGGGAGAGATGAAGTGGTCTCATGGTAGTGTTACAAAATTTGATTTTGAACTTGACTGTCCAACTTTGAGAACAGTTAGAAGTCCCTGCATTGTGAGCTTAAGTGAGGCACTTGACTCTGAGGAGTGGCTCTCCATTCAAAGTAACTAATGGGAACCACTATTTTTGGGGAATTACCTTATCAAATGCTGTGACAGTTTGCATTGTCTAACGCAAACAGTAGCTATCTACATGTAAAGCACACAAGAAGACTTATCAACAACCTTAAACTCTTAACTAACATGTCCCTCATTATAAGAGCCAACAGCAAAGGTGACATTATCTAAAGGACTGAAAAAATATCCTAAAAAAAACAGGATGATGGAGTATTCTAAAACACCAAATGATGTCATTTGTGTTACATGTAAATTATTAATTAAATAGAGAACAAAAAGTTCTGTTATAAATACTACAATGGGACAAACCTAAATGGTTACATTAGTGTATAGAAGGTGTGTAAATATTTGGGGAAACAAAAAAAAGGCCAATATAGAGTAGATTGCCAGCTTTAGATGCACTATCTGTTGCCTTAGGAATTAGCTTCATCAGTCATCTAAAATATAGTGCCTCTGAAAGTCACAATCTACCTTGTATAGCCTCTTCAGTATATTATTGATATAATTAGTAGAACTAATTGGATCAATAATATGATTCATTTATCAACCAGTCTGGTTCACCTCCCTACTGAATAGAGAAGATCAACTTGCTGCTTTCTAATTGGCAAACTACATAATTCTTATCAACTTTCTTTATGCTAAAATTCCTATTAATCTTTAGAATGCTGGAAATTATCCTAAATCAGAAAGTGTTTTTCCTTTACCTCAAATTGTCATGTCTGAGAAACACTCACCTCATAAACACCTTCATGCAATCTTCTCAACAACTTCCCTAACATCATGTGACCAATAGGAAACCTTATCATCCTTTGTGTGGTGCATGGCCATAAACTAACTGTAGCCCTCTGTAATAAGTCAGCATTCTTATGAACACTAAATAAATCCAACAACAGGTTAAATAGTGACGTTTTTCCAGCATTGCTACAGCCAATAAGATAAATGTCTCCCTTGTCATCCCAGTGTTCGCTGATTTTTCTCACAAGTTGTGTTATACCATAACCAGTTTTGGCACTGATCAGGCACATACTCTTAATGTTGGCACCTTCCAAGCCATGAGCTTGGCACATTTTAAAGAGCACTTCTTTCAAATGTCGTTCTTGTTTTCCAGTATGTGTTCCTTCCACTGGAAGCATGTCAGCTTTGTTGCCAACAATAATGATCCTTTTTGCTTCACCCACAGTTTGAAGAAGATTCGGAAAAAGACTTCCAGGAAGATCCATCATGTCTACAACATAGAGAATCAATCCTTTTTTTCTTTCTATGTGTCCCACGTACTCCATTACCTCGCTTGAGGTTTTTGTGATGGGAAAGGGTTCATTATAATGTTTCAAGTTGAAACACTTCTGACAAACCAAAGTTCTGGCAAGCCACTCAGAGACTGGACCTTTTTCACCTGTAATTGGATTCTTTGAAGGCATAACGTAGCCTCCCTGTGAAGGATCTTCGCTTTGGAAAGCAGATCCGCAACCAAGACACTTAGGAATCGGTTGCTCAAACTCATAGACATGGGTACCACTCTCAACTTCTGAAGATTCGGGCTCTGCGAGTGAAGGTTCATCGTTGAAAACTGTATTGATGTCGACACCTGTTGGCGTTATTCCACTGACCCTTTTAGCACTTTCTGGACTTTTTCCATCTAAATTGCCATCTTCCTCAAAAAGTAGAGACGACGCTCTGAAAGATCTTCGAAATAAGTTCAGCTTGTTCCAGCATTGGACATTACCACGTAGCTGTGATGTCACAACTTTGGAGAAGTGTTTTTTCCTTGCAAGGTTGTTAAATTTAAGTCTATTTACTCTCCAAAAGAGTCCCCTTAACCCTGAATAATGAATCATTGACATGATATTTTGCTTCGCTCGTGCGATCAGAAGCATGTCACCACACTACGTCTGCCATCTTAGAATAAGGTACATCCGCTGTCATACCGCAGGCGGTTAGTTTCCCAGTCCCAAATCCTACCCGATCCACTTGTGGTAAGTCTCTTTGAGTATACTGGAAAATTGCAGAGTAAAGTAACACTCCCAAAATTCTATAGGAATATGTATTTTAACTACCAAAGCTAAGTATTGTCTGCTAACTTAAGGTTGAAAATATTGTTGTTTTTTGTTATCTCGCTCTAGGATTTCTCAAGTTCCTGGTTCGAATTGCTGTCGAGTTGATCAAATGTCCAGTCGATAAATTATAACTTTTCCAGCCAGTTTCTATGAGAACGGAAGGGAATCGACAAACGTTCCAAACGTATATAAAATTCATTTAAAATCATCACATTTTTTTGTAATATTGTGGAAAACAATCTTATACGTAGTCCATGTTTTGAGGAAATTTTTCGTCACAGTCGTCCGCGATCAATTAACTCATCGAATATACCTTGAGAGGTCAGAAATGAGATGGTAAGTTTAAAGAGAAACAGTGGTGCTGCGTCGGTGGGTTATTGCGAAACGGTTTCGTTTTATGAACCGCTGTGTTGATTATGGAAATTGGTCACCGCAAAGATGGTTTCGTTTTTTCGTTTCGGGTTCAAATTTTATCTTAATGATCAGGTATTTTTCTTCTTTTTAACATCTCTTTTATCCACAATTAACTAACAAAATTCAAACCAAAATGCTCACAAAATTTATTTGAATTACTTTTAAAATTTTGTTTGTTTACTTTCTCACTGCTGAAGTTGACCCCACAAAGCGCTGGCCGTGCGCTTAAACCCAAAGCGAGAAATACTGAGTTCTCGCTATCCTACCGAAAATCTACAGAGGACGAGAAAGACTGCCCCATTGTCCTGAATCACACTTGAGATGTTCTTTCTAACAATAAGTACAGTTTACAAGCTTTAAAAGCCATGCATTCTGAACAAACGCGCAAGATGTTCCACCTTCATTGTAAAATTGGCGTGTCGTGGATCTGTCAAATTAACATAAACGCTGCTTGGTAATCCCAACAGCTGTCGCATATAACACTTAACCAGTAACCTTAGACGGTAAGTGACACCTTTTGTGCATAGTTTACCCATTAACAGTGCCTAAAGCAATCTAATTGGCGGAGAGCGCGACTGTCTTTGTTTAAGGTGCTTTAGCAGTAAATTACGTATTCAGCGGTAATGTCTACCTCAACGGGAGATTGTGTACCTTGACAACGAACCAAAGCCAAAAAGTTTGCTCAGCAGTTCAACAGAATCTACTGATTGCAGTCGAAGTTTAAAGCGTTAAAAATGGGCTTCACAGAATTAACCAACCCTCATAAAGCCAGCAATTTGCCAGGGTTTGTAAAGTTGTTTAGTTGCCGATTTTATCCCAGTTTGATGTTAGCATCTGCCTTCAAGTGGATCATTAGCTTGTGACACAATTGAATGGTAGTTTGTATTTAAATAGAAAGTACAACAAGTTGAGCTTGAGAAAACAGTTATAAAAGATAATCAATATGTACGCCGAGAAACAAGAAGTTTTTGCGCGATAAATTTTGAAGAAGAGTGGCGATCACGGAAATTTGAGACTTTTACATAGGGAAATTTAGTTATGTGTGCCAATTATTAAAGTCACTGAGATCTTTACGGGAAAATTTAAGTTTGTTTTTAAGTCACGAAGTTCCCGTGAAGAAAAGGAGGAGATAGGAAAATAAACAAAATGGAAATAGGTCCTCCAAAGAACCGATCTAATCGTCGTATTAAAATACATAAAAGAGAAAACGACTTAAAGAGATTCCAAAATGGGACCTTTCTTGCTGAAATGAGAAAAGTTTGCTTTGAGAGCGAGATTTTTGCAGAAATGGTTAGTTTTTGCAAGAAATATGTTGAAACGTTTGCGCCAAATTTTCGATGAAACAATATTTTCTACCGAAGGCGATCTAGATAGATCATATCGAGAGTTTCCTGATCCTCAGCGAGGCTATTATGCATTTATGTTTCACACTGAGTGGGCTAGCGGGCTGCTACAAGAATAGTTTCGCAAGAAATTGATGTGAGTATGCATGTTTATGCCTTATTTATCCGCAGATACCGCGGTTACTGTCCTCAGCTGAAATACGAATGCGGCCATACATATGGAATCGCTACTGATAAACTCACAACAGTAAGTTGATACAATGAAGGATTCTTTATTTAGTTCATTCAACCGAGTTCATCTGAACAAATCGGCTGGAATAATTGCTTTGAATGTATCATGATGGTTATCACTTCAAAAGAATTACCGATTTTTCAATAATCTTTTAAAAGCATTCGTGTGCCTGGAAACGCTTTCAAGTTTCGAGTGAATACAGTGATACGTTTTGAAAAAACTTGTTCTATGAAAATGGGTTTAATATTGTGCATGCAGTTACACCAAAACACTTACTCTCTGAAGGTGTTATGAAATTCCAGATGAAGTTCTTTGACCTCCATCAAAGGTGCCAAGATTATTTCAATTAGAAAAAGACTATATATACAAACACGTTGTTACTGTAATGTCAAGTTCAAATTCATTCATTTACTGCCATCGTGGCCCTTTTGTTGTTAAAATGTTCGACCAATTCTTTAAACTTATTTTTTGTTAACGTCACCTCAGAGGCACATGCGAAACGAGAAGCTTGTCCCGATGACTCTACCAGATCCGAGAGAGAGACAACCTTTTCTGCCCCAACCGAATGGAGATAACAAACTCACGGCTGCCATGGTTCCCTACTACACAGGTTGAGTATTCATTACAATAGAAATAAAAAAAAACATTTCTTTGCACACCCACAACTTCATATGAATCCAGAAAGATGCTTTTGTCTACTAGTTCCGCTCCATTGTTAGGGCATTATTTAGTAAACTGGTATTCAAAAGGCATTGCTGCTCACTAAGCATGTTGTATTGGCTTCGCCAATCGGTTTGCCACTATTGGTGGCTTACAGTGAGAATTAGACTCACTGCTCCGCCGGCGCACGGTCATTCTGTTTGATCCAGCTTTCATTTGGCAGTCTTAGTAAACGATCGATTTTAGTTTTAGCTGCCTCAAGAGTATCATGAGACATGGTATACCGTAAATATATCATAAGAATCATGTGTACTCTTCACTAACTCGGTGATTTTGAACTTGTTCTGACACCTTTCACAAACATAAATCTTAATCAAACTCATGTCACGTACCGCCCGACGTCTTTTTTCACGCACTTGTCATTTGTGTGTCATAGCTATGTAAATAAGTCTTATCGATGTTGTTATATGGGTTTAAAATTTCTCTCAAAGCTGAAGGGTTGACATTAAAAGCCTTATTTTGAATAAAAAATAGCTTCATAACACTGACATCTTGACGCAGCCATTCACAAATGATCGCTATCGATCGTGCGCGTATTCTAAGCAAGAAGGAAAAGAAATTAGAGCAGTGGGTCGGGAATGCAGAATTTGCCCGACAACATGAAGAATGACATTATGACCAACGTCCATGTTTTCGATATCAGAATCGGGAACAATCGGGCACGACCGAGATCTTTCGGAAGCTTTCCTGCAAGTGTTTTGACCTTGAGGCTTGGCTGGATTAGCAAAAGTGATTCCCGCAAAGAAGTCCATTGAAACGCCTATTTAATGCTGCAAAATGAAATTTTCACGATGAAATCTTTAATTCAAGAACATTGTCACTAAGTCTCAAATTTAAAATCATTCATGTACCGGACAGCATCCTTAAAATACACATATTCAAGTACATCAATATTCAAGGCACATCTTTAAATTGTTTGAATGAAAGAATAAGAGTAGTCATGCACGAAAACTCATCCTTGCTGAATTTTAATATTGCGAAATAGGGCCTTATGAATTATTTGACTAAAAATGACTGAATGCTTCTGGTTTCAGGTTACGTTCCTACGATGCGATTCTTGTACGGTTCTCGCTACAGAGAAGCAACAGAGCAGGCTGTCAGCGATTTCATGAAGAAGGACAAAACTCACAGAGCAGAACAAGATGATCTGAAAAAAACTGTCTACAGTCATCCGAAACTAAAACCTGTACCAACTTACAGAGAACCTACAAATTACCCCGATCTAACGCCTAAATACGCTAAAGGATACTTTCCCAGTAAGTGAAGCACATTATGCAACAATATCCACTGGCGATTGGCAAATCACTAGTAACTCGGTGAAATCTAAAAGCCTCTTTGTTATTGGTTGATAAAAGTGTATTCAATAATCAGCAAAAATGCCTCGCTGTTCTTTAGTGTCTTAAAGACAAAGGCGACAGTAAAATCATTTTACAGCTACCCTGATAGCAACTAATCAAGGGTATCTCGTTTCTTGAAGGTGAACATCGTGAATTCTGCGAGGCACCTTTACCAGGCTACACGGGTTATGTACCACGGAGGAGAGAGCATGACCTGGGAACTAGGTATGCCACCTGGACCAAAGGCGGATTCACGGACTCTCTTGAAATGCGTATGAAACAGGAAGGCTTAGCTACCCAAGCCATTGACGTAACCAGGTAAACAAAACAAATCACAAAAGGCTCGATTCGCATTCTTGACGCTTATCAATAACTAACGCTTATCCCTTTAGGATGCCAGTTGCAACAGTGAAGCCGCTGATCGCAGAGCACGGAACGCTGTACAGGGAAATGGGAATGAAACCAAAATACACAGGATACATACCACGTAAGTCGACACTCTCCCCTTAACTTATTTCACTGAGCGTCATAAGTGATACAAGATTACTTCGTTTTGGCTTTACTGCCATCTGTGATCGATAAAAAAATAACCTCGAACCACTTTCTGAGAAAATCTGAGGTTGATTTCTCATCAGCCACTTGTGGTAATTTCCTGTCTCCTGATTAGCTGCAGTGATCTCTTTGACACCCACCCGAAGTGTTACCTTTCTACTATGTTTTAGGTTTCTGTTTTCTTTCCTCTTGCTTGCATCAGCACTTGACTGACTGCTTACTTGTTTACATTCTCTCATTCCTCCCTCTTTTCACTTCACAGAGCGGCGTTTCAGATTCGGCAACACATATGGTGACACAACTCGGTCATTACCTGTCTGTTTTGACACATTTGGATATTCAACTGCCAAATACCTGACAACACCCGTCATGTGAGGGGCCTTGGCATACTTTCGCGAAAAAAACCTGTCTCTTCAAGTGTTAGAGAGGAAATTTCGCTACATAAGTTTTACTAGGATCACCTTAGTTGAAAATTTATCGTTGTTCTTAACTTCTTTTAGTAAATATTGCAAAATTTAGGTTTAAACTAAACGAATTACGAAGAAAAATGTCATCAAGTCTAAGTTGAGGTATAAGAACGAGCATCAAGTAAGTTACAGCAGATCCCAATTCCCTCAATTTATTCCAAAACGAGGAAACAACAAATGCCTGCTTTGCCATTTGAGAATCGACCTTGCTTCGTTTTGTACTTATTCTCAAAACGATCAATCCTCCTGAAAAAGAAAATATGTTCTGTTTCTTAAACTTGTGGCGTTCCTTGATCCTATCAGTGCTTTGGTTCTAAACCTTAGGTGATGGGTGAATCAATTTTTTTATGTGTTGATAAATATTCAGGTGAGGAGCATAATAGTTCAGTATGTATAGTTTGCCAACCTAAATTAACCTGTTAACTTAATTTATTGAGAGTGATTTCATTATCTAACAGTGAGATAAACCCCGAGCGTTCTAATAGATATATTTTTTTCACAAGCATTAAATCCCAATTGTAATATTGATAGTCATAATAAAGTGTTATACTTTGTCTCACGATTTAGTCCTTTTTGACGTGGATTGCGATGTATCGAATTTAATCTGCGAATCTATTTCGGGCGAAGTCAAAAAGGTTGACTGGTTTCGCATCATTTTGTCGTTGTTGGTGTTTTTTTTTATTAGAGGTTAATGCGTCGATCAATCCGAAGCTTCAACATCCCTCCCAGGCAACCACCCAGACATTTAAACCACAGCAGTCGAGCTCTTTGAAGACCCGGATTTAAAAGAAAATAATTCAAAACACGAATAATAGAATCGCAGTTTGCATTACACATTATGGATCGACGCAAACATAATTCGGAATACGAAGAATCGAATACAGAAGCAAGCAACAAAACAAAAACGACGTATTAGCGAACATAATTGAACACAATTCGTAACATTAAAAACACCAGAGAAAACATTAAAAACCGTATTGGCAAACAACAAAACTAAATTCCAAACTTAATTTTGGCGGTAATCACCCCTCATACTTGAGCACAGATACCTGAGGTATCGACATCATGTCAGCTGACTTTCTACACCCCATGGCCAGCAAAAGGCAACGACCCTGTGCTGGGGTGCAAGTGATTTCACAACTTTTACGGCTGATATCGTTATATGGGACTAAGCATCGACATTGTTTTCTTCCAAACGCTTCAAGCTGGTACAATTAAAAGTAATGGAAATTTTGATTAAAAAAGGGTTAGATAAAGACAATTTGAGAAATACAAGTGGATCACACCGAAAATTCGAATTCTTGTAAAGCGTTAAATTCGTGTATTTAAAACAAAAACACTAATGGATTGTTTACAATGCTTTATTTCTGTTAGAGACGTGCAGTTCTTAGGTTTTTCCCTTTATTCTGAAATAAACAACAGTTGCTATTCTCAGCAAGAAGTTTAGAAGGTACACCTAGAATAACCTCAGAATCGCTCTGACTGTAAACAGCTAGAAGCTAGCTTGAAGTTGTAAAGGTTCCTTTCTGAGGTGATCTTATTCTTCTTTTTTAAAAGGCTCGGAATTTACATTCATGATTAACTGCATATACGTCGCTTTCGTCTTTATAATCACTTAAATAGCCAACAGCTACATGAAATAAATAAATATTTGCACTTTGTGCCAAATTACATAAAAAATCAACGGCTAACTAAATCATCGACAATCTTTGCATATTCCTCTCTTGGTCTATTTGTAATCAGACTTATGTGCAAATTTCCATTTGCTGTTAAATAAAATTTACCTCATAAATTGACTAAAGACTATCACTTATACTATTTTATTGGTGAAAGAGACGCAAATTCTAACTGTATTTAAAAATATTTATAAAATTATCCATAACTAAAACCACTTATTTTCAACAGGAAGTTACCATCTCAGAGGGTTTTTGTACTGAAAACTTCCTAATGAAACATAGCCACTTGTATCAACACCTAAAACGTTTGATTTCTTTTATCATTCCCAATTTGTTTCTCTAAATTAACAAGACCGACGAGGACCGTCTAAAGTGTCCTGAACATCACCAACTACAATCGATCATGACAATTATATAGGCTATGAAATGGTAGTTTCAGGTCAATTTACAGCATCTTTTTTTAAACAACATATAAAAAAATATATGAAACGCTACTTAGGCTCGATAACAAGCTTTTGTTGAGGAAACTAGTCCGAGCGTCCCCGGGCCCCAAAGGACTCAGATGTGTAGAAATCGATTCCTAATACTAACTTGCTGAATGCTAACATCATCATGATGTTAGCTGATGAGACCAACCAACGGTAACAGTGTCGGCGAGAGCAACTTTTACAAGAAATAAATAGGAAAACATACACATCGTTAAACTTTACGAATGTTCTTTTTTTTCTCCTCGGTATCAAAGGTTCGTAACAAAAAAAAATAGAAGTTTAATCCCAACGAGTAGCACGGACATGTCGCTATTCTCGTTCTTCACTGACAATTTTCACGCTAGTCTTTTATAGTGTGGTTGAGAACCACAATAAAGAACCAAATGTACTCGGGTTTTATGCGACTATTAAGGGCTCACACTATTTCTTGGTTGTGACAGACTTTCGGGAAGTAGTTCAGCTTTGACGGTGGGTACGGAAAAGCACTAGCATTGTCAGCAAGACTAAAATAACACATGTTTATAAATTAAAGCTATATCACAATTTCCTTGAATAAGTTACTAATATTTCAGCTGGGCATCAAGCTGTTATGCAGCCTGTATCAACATTTTAACCATAATCTATCGTGTTGTAGTCTTACTCCTCGTTATCACATGCAGGGAAGACTCCAAATTGAAAGGAAAGGGAACACTCGTCTTCTCTCTTTGAGACACATTCACATATTTTTTCTCACTTGCTGTGCTCATGAATACATAGCTTCCAGATCTCCTTTTTAGGGTTGCTCGATAGAAAATGTAAACAGCCATCTTTCTGTTTGCTGATCTAAGTTAATTACGAAGATAATTCAACCACCATTTTTAAATTAAAATTAACTAGTATGCTGTTTTCAAATGAGACTTGTATCTTTTAGAGGTAATTTTAGAGGCCGTCGAGCAAAGCCTTTTTTCGGTCTCCTTCAAGAGAGCCAATACCTCTTCCTTTACTCTTTCAAATGAGAGTCCTCCCCATCTCTCTCTCATACATATTGATATTCTCTTTAAACATGTGTACGCCACTTACGCATCAAACGGTAGAAAAGTAAATTGCGAAGCATACATGCCGGGCTCTGCACGTTCCACTCTCCTAAACTTACCATTACTTTTGATGGCGAGGTAGCCCGTGTTGTTATAAATATTTATAATATTGAATGGCCTGTATGTTAGGTAGTGATTTTCTTCCATGTGCTCCACAAACAAAGAATCATTGCTCAGGTTCCCCTGAAAGAGGTATAGAAAGAAAATTAAGGAATTCTTCGGTTTGACGATATTGGCGATATTAACACTTGCACATTTTTACTGATATGAGTGAATCTTTCCCAGCTTGGTTAAAAGTCTTCCTCACGCCACTAGTTCAAAATTTCCGATGCATGTTCATCTCGGTAAAGCTTTTCAGCTTAAAGAAACAAGGGGTATGGAAGAGCGAGATTTTTACAAACGAGCAGCTGCAGTAACTATCAGATAAAAACAGAAGATGTAAATGCATCTAAAAAATGCAGTAATCAGGTGAAGAACGTAATGGACATAAATGCACTTGGCGAGTGGTTATTGCGATACTCGTTATATCAAAGCTGAATAGAAATCGAGATTGGGCCGACATAAAATGATGGGAAATCATATTCTCTTGATTGGACCTAATAATTATCAAAGAGAAGGAATGTTACGCTTGATACTTACTCTTCCTATAAATCGTCCTCTTTTTCTGCCTCTTAATTCACATGCTAAGAAATTTTGGCTCAAAATTCCCTTAAACCTCTTCAAAGTTTTATTATAGCTTTGCATTTCAAGTTTGGCTGAGGGATAAAAAAAAAAAAAGATATTAAAAGTTTTGCATATCAGGAATCATTTACGGGAGAGCAGGGATAGAGTTTGGCTGACTGCAATATCGTATACGGAAAGAGATTAAAAATTTTAAATCTATTACTTGGAAATAGCTCGCTAATAATTAAAGGACGTAGCCAAAATAGATTTCTTTCAATCTCTCAAACGATCTATGCTGGCAATTATGATGATATCAGTGACATGGAGACGAAAAGTTACTCTAAAATGAATGTAAATATGGAAGACAGACACCTCTCCTCATAATTTTGTCAGGGGGTGCCGTCAGGTTGATACATTCTCCAACTAAGTGAAGTTTATAAGAACATTCATGCAAACTGAGGTTTCTTGAAATCAGGAAGAACTTTCCTGGGCACAAAAATAGCCCCAAAACTCCGCACTAAACTGAAAAAAAAAAGGCTCCACGGATTTTCGGGCCAAACTGAAAAAGGAATCACACCCACGTGGGCGCTAGGAAGGAGACATTAACAACTTCACTTACTGTATTCTGACGAATTGTTCATTGTGGCCTGCACAGTTCCATTTTTTAAAATTTCTAGGAAATAACCAGTCCTTGAATATAACCTGCCCCTGAGTGTAGCTGTAGGATCAACGAAAAGTCTATTCATGGCATTCGAGCTTCTTGGTTGTCTTGAAAGTCCATCCTCCGACGATCTGAATTTTGGGTTTACAGGAGTTCCTTGCACTGTGCTCGAAGACAAACAGGAAACCACAAAGAAAAAACAGGCAATCTGTCGAAAAATTAATAACAGTTATTTTTACAGAGACCTGCTAAGTATCAATCCTAATCTTGCCGATAGGGATTGTTGTCAATGAGTCACAGGCCTACCTAAGAGGAAGAAAGACCAAGTTCTTCCAACAAAAAGCCAAACTTATAACCTTACATACCACATACATGCATAGTTTTTATAATGACCTTAGAAAAATATCTTATTATCATCGAATGCGAGACGGAAACATTATCAATTACCATTACTTGTTCGGTACTGCAAATCCAGATGCGTGCGCTTAACCGCGCAATTTCATAATTCCGCCAATTACGAATTTACACTATAATTTATAATCGATTTTTAACTTTTTTGGGCCGCTTTTGGAGAATCAAACTAAGCCAATTTGAACACGAAACAGATAGACATACAACTGGCGTCAAGCATGAGCTAAAAAGCCCTTGTGATCAAGAAAGACTAAGTATTCACTGAGGGTAATGCCTAGATAACCATGTAGAGATTGGACCAGTACGTTCTTTTTCTTCATTTGATTGTAACTCGACATAAACACAAACTTTTATACACAAAGAACGTGGGCAATATCGGGACACTAACAACGAAAAGGTTCCGTAAATAATGATTTATTTCATGATTAAAAGCCGATTTTTAAGACGTTTTTTTATGAGAAGAAATCAAGATGTCATGTGTGGACACGCCATTAGGTTCTGCTCTCCACTCAGGTAACAAGCAATTACTCAGGATCAGCTCAATCTTGCTCCATCTAACAAATTGGTTAAAATCTGACTGGATGCTAAATTCAACCTATCAAGCAGTTTAATAAATGATACCTAATCACATATCTCTGTTTCCGATTGAAAACACGTTCCAAAGACACTGTGACACTGCGTCGGTGGGGGAGTTTAACAAGATATTTTGGTTTTGTCAGCTGAATTAATTACGTAAATTGGTCACCCTAAGAGTTTCTAAGCTGAAGTTCCGAGCGTTTGCCCCTCGTCATTTCCTCTGACGAAGGGCTAACGCTCGAAACGTCGGTTAAGATACTCTTTACGGTGGTCAATTTACATGATGTACTTTTCTATTTTGAGCATTCTTTGATATAAGAAAAAATTCAAAACTTTTCAGTGACATCACTCGCTTTGCTCACGGTTCCGGATGAGTTCGGGCATTGACGTAAGTGCCATGACCTGTACGAAAATATAGACAATAGAAAAAAATGCAGTCGATTTTCTCGTCACGGAATCAATCCCCACGAACCGCGCGCTTACTCGGAGAAAAACAACTGCCAATAGGCACCATCACATGAAAATGAAGCACCATCATCCAAAGAGCCAAACTGATGTCATGAATGTATCATGCGGTTTTATGATCTTAGCGAGTGTTTCGAAAGCACGATGATTCGGTTCAAAAGCCATGTCTGGCTGGTTTGTCCTTGTTTATGACATAGGCAAATAGTTTGCACTTGAAGCCAAAAGCTCTGTCTAATATCTACGTCTGGCTGGTTTTTCCAAGTTTACATAAAAAGCAAATAGTATGCACTTGAAGCAATATAGCCTTTTAATGTGACAGAAGACAAATGGACCCCATTTCAAATTCAAAACTAGCACGATATTTACTACCAATCTACTTTAATTGTCACCGGTTTTATTCCCTAAACGAAATATATGAACAATTGAAATTGTTTTATAGTCTTTAACTTAAGAGATATAGACGTTAAAGTAGAAATTAAGGAAATAAATTGATCAAAGACCTTCTTTGAAATTCGTCGTGGGCGTTATGTTTCGTTACTATCAGGTAACTTTACTTTGAGAATCAACAGAGTGATTACTTTCTCCCTCGGTACAAAGTCACTTGAAAGACAGCGTGACTTAAGCCGATTGATTCAACTGAAGACTAGCTGAAGTTGACATAATAACTTAACATAAAAATGCACGACCTCGGTCAAGATCAGTCACTTCATCGGGTGCAAAAACGTGAATCAGCCGTAAAACGCAAAAACGCAATCAGCCGTAACCCACGGAAGGATATCAATTGATAACATGACATTTTGAGTAAAGCCGTCTCTTCAAGGGGAGACTAATTTCAAGAAATGATTTCAACTTCATTTTGAGTGTAACCCTATGTATTTTCCTATTTGTTCTTAAAAGTTTGTTTGTGTTAAATGCTTTCCTTATTTAAAGTGTCAAGGATTATCCGGTTCATTAGAGGACATCGTGGACAATAAGGGCGCAGACGACTTATAGCTGACATTAGTAAAGCAAAGCTTAGAAAAAAATCTCAGAACAAAACCAAAACAAAACAAAGGTTATCAATACAACGTAAATTGTCTGACTGCAAAGATTGATCATATTCTTGTAAAAGAAAAAGTAGTTTGTCCAAGACATTGATAAGACATCACCCCCCGCCCCTACCACCACCCACCCCCTTGCCCCCCCCCCCCCGAAAAGTCAACAACCATTTCTTAAACATGCTGACAATGGAGTTCCCAGATAAGATAATTTTTGTAACTTCGGACGAACTAGTCAAGACGTGACTTTAAGGTCGGTGAAAAACGCATTCAATTAGTCACGTTCACTCGCGAAATAACTGTTTTCAAGCGACAAGATCTGTTCTAAGGTAAGTCACTTTAAACATACCAGTAAGACGCCCAAACGCAGCAATGCCATGACAAAACAATCGAAGCTGTCGTTTGTGTGTGTTGTCGAAGATGACGACCGCCTTCTCTTCATTGGTTCTACTCCTCTCAAGAATAACACTTCTATAACCAGTGTTCACTTATTTTGTGCATATAAAAACTCTACAAACTTCCTGATTTCATGTGAAACCGGAATATATCAACCTCTAAATCCAGCAATGATCTTAAGACCTAATTTCAAAAACCCTTGCAGTGGTATCGAAAAATTTTAAAAGCTTCCCTCTCGGAAGTGATCACCATAACAGTTCTATAATTGTTTATTCCATTTCATTCATTTTTTGCTCTTGTCTCTCAAGAGGTCTAATAGAGTCGGCAAAGAAGACTAGTGAATCATAACATCGTTAACGACTTTTGTTCAAAAGAGGTTCTACTTAAGAGTGCCGCCCGTTCGTTCACACTTTACACACAACATGTTGCCCAAAATCATAATGGAGAGAGCAGGATCAAATTTTACAACATTTCAACCAGCGACAGGTTCTAACAAAGCGATAAAAAGTTTAAAAAACGCCCAGGAAATCGAGTTTAAAAGAATTAAAATTAAATCGTGGAGGACAAAAGGAAGTTTCGAATAGTTAAAGATTGCTCGAAATAAAACAAGTTCCTTTCTTAAAGGACAGACAACGTGCTTCATCACATAGCCGCTAAAGGAATGATACGTCGTTTAATATATTTCGATTGAGCCAGTCCCTTGATTTCTACATTTTCATGACGCACAGGTAATTTAAATAGCTTCCATTTGCAGATGGAAAATTTGCAGAATATCACTTAATAGTGTTCTTGTGACGAAGTTTCGCTATTCATTATATGGCAAGTAAATTGAATTACTATTTCTTAATTTTGCGGTACCAATGAGTCTGATTAAAAAAACGGAGTAAAGCGCTTTGTAAGCGAAGGTATTCCAGATATGTTCAAGTACTTAACGAAAACAGAAGAACTTTCTCATAACAGACATGTGGTTGGTTACCAGTTTCCTGAGAGGGCTTTTCTCTGAACTGAAGTTTTCCATTTTAATGCGATAAGTGCGGTTAGACCTTGGCAAAACACTTGATCCCACTCAAAGCTTCAGTGGTTATCTCCCACAGCGAATATCAATAACGGACTTTCCATCATTAAATAAAAGTGAAAAAACAAAATTTGTAACATTTTATGATAGCTAAATCAACAAATTTCTGCTCTGTCGCTTCCAACCTGTTAATTTTTTTTTTTTGGACAAAAAGCCTTCTCTACATTCGGAAGCCGAGGAAAAGTCTCGAATGTCGAAGGATACCGAGGTTTGAGTTTAGATTGCCACAAGGAAAGGCAGAGTAATTTTAAATCAACCGAATCAGCGATGCCGTGTGGGTGAATAGCGGACAATTATAACCACCAATATTCTACGCAGTTAGTTGACCTCTTGGAAGGAAAATAATCTCCGTTTTTTGTTCAAAGTCTTAAAACGTAATGTTGCGATTTTCAAAAAATACACCTTTAATTAAAGGTTGAAATGAATAATCATCTATCGATCTATTTCACTTGAAGTAATGCTCACTTTATTCTTTAATCAAAACAATTACCATAGCTGTTGAGAAGATGTAGAATTCTTGAAAACAACGTCTCTTTAAATGATCCTGTTTTTAACTGAAGTTCATGTGACGTTTCTGCTTGGTCAAGAGTACAAAGACTCAAAGTCCAGTATAAAAGGAAGTCATTGCAAAAGTTATTACGAGAAGCTATCAAGCACACGTACACTTTCGTTCAGTGAGGGTACTAACTCATGGAGGTCAATTTAGAGTCATTACAAACGACCCATCAAACAAAGATCGCTAATGTCGAGTGTTTAATTGGATATTTGATATTGAAATCAACTATGAGCGAATTTGATGTTTTCCTGGATTAAATCAGCCCAGGTAAAAGGTAAAAGCGCTGAAACGTACAAACTAATTTAAAAACGGATAACTGTCACCGTGGAGACTTCTCTTTTTATATAGCAATCATCTTAATCTTTCCCAAAATAGAGGCTACTTATCATTATTGCACGTTTTACTCTCAATTCATGTGTCATGGCGACCCTTATTAGTTTGTAGCCTACGTACCCTTCCCCCCCCCCCAAAGAGTAACGGAAGGGAGGGTTACTTCCTTTCCGTTTCTCCCTGGGGGGAGGGTACGGCAACACGTAGGCTGATTAATTTGACCAAAGACACTATGATTGGCTTCCTGAAGAGCCTTTTGATTTTCTTTTTATGAGAAATTTTTACTATCCTTAAAACCAGAAAGTGGAAAAAATGGTTCAAAAAATAAACTGCTCTCTTCTTTGGACTACGACGCATCTTCTAGACTTAATATTACTTGTTAACCACAACTTTGCTGCTCAAATATTTCTGCGGAGAAGTTGAAAAGCCATTTAGGTTGAGGTCTACCGTATTAAGAGGATCATTGTAAGTAATACCCGATTACCTCAAAGCCGTCACTAAGCCGTGTAACTATAACATCCGACAAACAAAACGGAATAAAAAAATACCGAGCCGCAAAAAATTATTTATCGAAATTATCCTGACCTTTTTTTTTTCAACTAGCTCGATTGACGGTCTTGTAGCCAGGCCTGTCCCGACTTTGCTCGTAAAATGCTGGAAAGTTGCTTACTGGAATGCCAAAAAGTTTCTAAAAAATTGCCGAAAATCCAAAAGTTGACTTAATCGTGCTTCATGTGCTCTAAACCTAAAAGTTTCTTTAAAAAATTGCTCGGAGTTGCTAGTACCTCAAAGGTTGCTCCAAACGCCAAAAGTTGCTCTAAAGTTGCCGCGTACAATCGGAACAGGCCAACTGGCAGCCCTATTCACAGCGTAACATCACGTTCACATGTTTGCCCAAGGAAGGATATGAAATTGTCAGCACAAAATGACCCATTCGAGAAAATTCCACGGGGAAAAATGAAAGTTCGTGAGTCGTCGGCGTGTTAAGTTTCCTAATCTCCCTAATTGAATGCGTGATGCAACGTGTGTCGAGAAATAATGCATAATGGTGCTTTACTTGACTCGATAACGTCAGAAAATATCTAACGTCATACTACAAGAACTTTAGGTCCTATTCCGGTTGAAAGAAGAGTTTCCAACTACGTAATACAAGCTAAGCGAAATTTGTGGCAGAAAGTATTTTGCGAGAACAAGAATTACACAGCAATATGCATTTTTTGGTGCAGTGTGTAATTTTAAAAGCTAAATGGTTGTCTGAAGCTTTTATAACTTTTTTACAAATTGGACGCACAAATATAAAGCTGCAGTAGGAATGTGAGAAGACATCTCTTACTTTTCGGTTGCCCATCTTTTGAAATCGAAAATCACTTCTAATTTTTCCTTACGTTCATTTACGCCTTCTGTGGTAAGTCAGTTTTTTTTCTTTTACTAGAAAATGTTTTCAGGTGATTTTCTCAGCCATGCTATCAGTTTTTTTCGTAACTACGCCTGCGCTCGGCTGTTTTCGTAGCTTTTCGTTCAGCGTCGTTGCGTTAACGAAACACTGTTGAGTGAATCACTAGTTTTGTCTGTCTACTTGGAGAAAGCTTTAAACTCGTAATATTAGCGAGAACTTGATGTAACTGCGGTCAAACTCTCTGGAATTTGACTTTTTTCTTTAGATGTTTTCATATTAGCCCTCTCCATGGACGAGAGCATAGTTGATGTTTCATTAACCATGGTTACTTCACGTCTGCCTTCAGTTGCAAAATAGCCAAATAACATGTTTTTGGAACAAAATGAAGACAGTTACCTCATACTTCAACATTAAAGAAAAAAAAAGGAAATCTCAAGAACAACTGATTTAAGACAACGAATGCGCTCTTCTCTTTGACCGCCGAATACCGCAAAAATAGCAACATTTTCCCTGCATAATAAAGGGTCTTTAACTCCAAATTCTGACATTGAATAGTTTGAAATAAATAGGTTTTTTCTGATTGGGCTCCAAGCCCTTTAGTATCGTCAGCTTTTCTCAGTACTCATTGTTCATTAAAGAAATGTAAAATGGTTTCCGTGTTTACATAGCCTGATGTAAACACGCGGGAGGTTGGGAGAACACGAGATAAGCGTAGGAAATCACGACGCAAAGCGGAGTGGTTTCCAGCTAATCGAGTGTTCTCCCAACCTCCCGCGTTTTTACATCAGGCTATGTAAACACGGAAACCATTTTACATTCTTTTATAAAATAACTAATGAAAGAGCCTCTTCTTGCAACGAAGGAAAGCGACGTGCTTGTTGTTGTTGTTCATTTGGCTTTTCGGCCGTTTCTTGAATACTGGGAAAATTAAACTCCAAAGAAAAATTAGGAAAATCTTCTTCTTCCATAACTGTACTCAAAACAAACTTAAAGAAACTGAGTTACTGCTGAATAAATAGCAGGGAGAACTCCGCGAGAAGATTCAGTATGAAAACCGTGTTTACATACGCTCATGTAAAATGATTTTATGGCCAATCAGAGCGCGCGTACTATTTGAATTATTTTATAAAAATGAATCACGCTCAAACAAAACTGATTCATATCAATACTAATCTGTCAATTGAAAATGTGACTTTCATATTCGATAACTTGATGAGCCATTAATTCCTTAAAATAAACGTTTAATTAATTGCCATCCACCAAAAATAAATGGGGCCATGTCACCTAACATTAAATAATAGAAACGACATAAGCAAACTTAATATGGTAACGAAAAAAAATTCCAACCAGGTGATAAGTGTTATCGCTAAATACTGCAAAAATCAAATAATTATTGACCCTTCTGAATATATGCATCAGACCTGCATGATTTGAATTCTTTCAGTGCTAACTACCTGAGCCTTATCTTTTCTTGCCTTAGAAGTGATTTTCCCCGAGAAAAATTTGTCGTCGCCAACGAGCAGAGTCTTTTCGCGGTACAACGTTTACTTGCATGGCGCGATCGATAGATCTCCGATTGGTAAATGACAGGCCAACTGAGTTCACCGAACAGCTGCTCTCAGCGAGCATGATCTTTTAGATTTCATCCCTCATCAACATAGAACAACAGGAAACTAAACTGACTCTGGGAGCTAAAATTACTCGTCACAACCTTCGTGGACTGCGAGTGGGAGACCGTCAACAGTAAGATTAGGAAACTACCTGACGCTCTCTAAGACTTGAGATTCGACAAGCCGTGCATTACTTTAAAACAACCACATAAAAAAGCAAAGAAATTGCTCA